CAGAAATAGCTTACCAATGAGCGCAGACGCTCCACAGCTTCTTTTAAATCGCTGGGCCTCAGAGTTCCGCTGGGTTAGCTTCTCGGACAATAAGCAGTTGGTCTTGTCTCGTCATCTCTGGGATGAGAATGTGGACAGGGCCCTCCCTCGAAATTCCGAAGCCCTCTCGTTATGATTTTGCTATTTTATCCTGTTTTGCCCAAGGGACGCTGGACCCGTTTTCCAGCAGGTGCAGCTCCCCACCAATAGAAAGGAGTAATCTAAGGATGTTCCTCAGGCAGGGTGATGCTCTTATCATCCTCTGCCTGAGGGACAACCGCCTGATTTTGCCAAAAAAAAAAAAAAAAAAAAAAACGGCTGCTCAGGCTAGTGGGGCTTGCCCCCAAGAGAATTGAGCTTGTGAGGGGACATCAGCCAGCTTCCCCAACACCGCCACCCTCCACAGCAAGCCCCCTCAGTATCTGGAATGAGGGCCCTCTTTGAAACTGCCTCTTGTCCCATGGTACTGGCTACAGTACAGTCATGTAGTTTTCCTTCTGCCTCTGACACAAACCGTCAGTGGTATTTCTTTGCCACTGCTCCTTTTAGGGCGAGATCCCACTGGCAAAAACGCTTGGATTAAGGGTCTGAATCTGGACTTGTTTGTGGAGAGGTGCAAGAAACTGTAATTGATCTGCTTTTCTGCATCTCGACCTGAAACACGTCCTGATTCAGACACTTATTCCAATCCTCTTTGGCAGTGGGATCTGGCCCTTAGTCACAGTAGCTGTTGTAGTTTGGGATCTGGCCCTTAGTCACAGTAGCTGTTGTAGTTTTTTTTTTTTTTTTTTTTTTTTTAAGTTATATTCTTCTCTCATCTATCTCATTTTTCTTGCTAGTACTCATCTGAGATAGGCAGGGAATACACTAAGAGGCTTGGCAGGTGCTGCTCCCCACCAATAGATGGAGCCTTCTCGTCAAAAAAAAAAAAAAAGAAAAGAAAAAGGCACACCACACAGGCTGAGTTTCGACAGCTGTCAGAAAGAATTCGAAAGTCTGCCGTCTACAGTTTACATCCCCTTCGCCACACAGGCTGTAGAGGGGCAAGGTTCTGGGTCATGGCCATCAGGGAAAAAGTAGCTGACAATGCAAATCCGAATGCAATTCTGGAAAGGCCGGTGGGGCACTGTAGAATTTCCGTCTGCTGCAGGCGGGAGAAAAAGAATGGGGGAGGGTGGCTACCGAGCGTACCATTCTGACACCTGTCGAAAAGCTTTTGAGCTGCAATTCTTCGAAAGTCTGTGTGGCGATGCAAAATTGTCGAAAACCGGGTTTTTGACAGCCTGTGTGGCAAGCCTCTAGATGGCAATGTGGTGTCTTTGCGGCACAAGATTGAAACTCGCATAACTCGCATTTCGCAATTTCACTCGGAATAGATCCGCTGGCCTTCTTTCTTTCCCCCCCCCCCCCCCCCCCCCCCCC